TAAACAATGTGTAAAGTAAATCTCAGACTCAAACTCTCCTGCATAAGCTGATCAGTAGTGTGCGACTTGGCTTCGCTGCAATAGCGCGGGACGTTTATGTTGGTTATCCTAAACTGTAGAACCTGCGTGTTTTTATTTATTGTTGTCTGATTTCATTTAACAATATTAAAATTACTATTAATATTCACTCGATTATTATTAATATTACAATTACTAATAATATTGATTATAATTCAGTTCATTATTATTTTGAATAAAAATGTTTAGTTGAAAAAACATGAGTTCTACTTTTTAATAAATTCATAGGCTTAAAAAATATAATAAAAAATAAAATACACTGTTTATATTAGAAAGAAATTAAATATTCATTGACTGATAATAATAAAAATGAACAGTTATATAAAATGATAAAGAATGTATTTATAATATATAAGTATAACTTTATGTTACCGAAACTAATAAATAAATTATTTGGCTTTTTTGTTTCTTAAAAATTGTATCACTTTAGTAATGATATCTTTTCACCTTCATCAGTTCGAGACGATACAAATATGAGACGTTGTCAAGTCGAGTAAAGCGACGCAGTAAGTCAACTTTTTCGTTTATGTGCATGGGAGGCGGGGCAAAAGAGCGTAGTGCTGGTCAACTAATTCTTACAGTACAAGTGGGTAACTTATATAGGGAAAACGTATTTGTAGGTTGAGAACCACTGGTCTTTGGGAACGTCCTTAAGTTAGTAGGTATATAAGCACATGATAATTTGAGAACCGAGTAAAAGTCCACGTTTTTTTTTTTGACCGATGTTTCGTAGATCTTAACGTCACCTCATCAGGATCAAGTCTGTGACGAACTGTTGAATAATATAGGACTCGACCTGATGAGGTTGGTATTAAGATCAATAAAATACATGTCATACCTACAGGTATAATTACTAATAACTAGTGATCATATGTATGACTTGTAAATAACCGAATTGGTCGAAACAATTTTGTAGAGATTGATAAAATGTACACATGTATAGTGAAACGTTAGTGTTTGTACTCATAAAATAGCTGAAAAACTCAAAATCATCATCATAAGGTCGTCAGTCCTAAATCTTCGCATTTCCCTAAAACCAAAACAACACAGATCCTTAACTATTTGCGAACAGTGATCTAATCCAGGCCTTTCCCTACTCCTCCTAATTCCCTTTTCTGTTTTTAATATTTCTCTGACTAGACCTTTATGCCTGAGAAAGTGTCCTACTAACCTATCTCTATTTTATTTATTTTTTATTGACTTCAAGGAATCCTTTGTTCTTCTATTCATTGTAATACCTCTTCATTTCTAACCTTGTCTATCCACGATATCCCCATCATTTGCGTGCAACACCACACTTCGAACGCATTTAATCTTTTCTTTTCCGTCACGCCCACTGTCCATGTTTCGCACCCGTACAACGCCGTGCTCCAAACATACACCTTTAACAAACCTTTTCGAATTTATAAATTAACCATTCGCGAGCATAGAAGTGGCTTCTTTTTATTGAAGGCGACTCGACTCTCGTTATCCTCTGCTTTATACCCCTACTACTCCTTCCGTCCTGACTTATCTAACTTCCCGGATTCCTAAAATCGGCCACTTTTAATTTTTCGTCTCCTATCTTTATATTCGCTCTTTCCCTACTTTTTCTTCCCTTACCTTCCAGTATTTTTGTTTTACTTTTATTTATTTTCATACAATACTGTTTTGTCAATACCGCTTCGATTTTATTTAAAACTATCTCTAACTCCTCCTTGCTAGATGCTAACACTGGTGTATCATTTGCAAATCTAAGCATACTAATCTTTTGCTTCTGTATATCTATCCTTACAGTTGTATTGTCTTTAATGATGTTGATCGCGTCTTCGCTCAAAATAGTATGAAAATATCGCCTATCTACCTAAATGCATTTATGAACACCGTTGACCGCTAGGAAGTTGGTATCCCTAGATTCATCAATTTTGTATTTTCTTGTGGGTTCTGTAGTTTCTAGGGATAATAATAAATATGGTTCTCAATAATATGCGGCAATCGTCTCGAATTTTTAACAATAAAAGTAAAAAAATGAAATTTTGTGTGCTAACTTCATGCCTGGCTATGATAACATCGAAGAAGAGCTCTGATACCTAAGAAAAATAACGAATAGAGAATTCTAGAATTTCTGACGATTTTAGCAAAAAGAATTACCCAAAATTTGAAGATTGAAAAAAGTAATTCGGCGCAGTCCCTAGGGTTGTTCGAAATTTTGACGTGACAACGGCTTATAATTCGATAGAGCACGAAAAAACATGACTTATGCGGCGTTACCTCGCTCTGAGGCGTTCCATTTAAGGCTTGAAGTGCAAGCGAAAGCGCGGAACGAGCAACAAAGAGGCACAATCGGCCTCCGCGTTCGGCAGCGTTTGACATCTGTCTCTCTCCTACTTGAGTGAGCGATGCGTCCGCGTGGACAGCTGCTATACAATAATACATTTCCATTTACCTCCTTCTCTATATCCATACAAAATATCTATCAAACAAATAAAATTAAAATTTTCCTTTGAAAAATGAAACCATTTAATTAGTATTTTCTTATGACGTTGTCACGTTCAACTATCGTCAGTAAACCGACTTTACAGACAACCGATTTTTTTTATAGCAACTCTGACCAGAACCACCCCTGACTGAGTATCTTACACGCCCTGAACTGTTTTTCCGACCCAAAAATATAAATTGCTCGCCATTTTTGACGGAAAGCGGGATATTTGTAGCTAACAATCTAAAAAATTATTGTCTCATACGAATGGCCAGTTTTTATTGTAGCAGTGTATACGGCTGTCTATAAAAGTCAATCCTAGAAAATGTTTTTGAGTATAATACGTGTATTGTCTCCTAAATCGTAAATAATCTGCATCAAAAACGTTAAAATCACGTGAAAAACCTATTAAAGAGCGTAAAGTTAGTAAATGACAGACAAAGGTCAAATGAAAGATAATGAAGTGAAAAACATAGTAAATAAAAAGTAGCTGTTAGCGAAAAAAATAAAAGAAATTTGATGCAAATGAAAAGAATTACGTAGCGTAATAAAATAATGTAATATTGATACGGTTTCTAAAACAAGAATTTATTAATCAAGCGCACGATAATCTAATTTATTTCCAAAACAATTATTTATTTATTAATTTGCTACCGGACTGCGTATATAGACTATTTCAGTAGGAAATCGGATAATTTATTTACTGTCACAACTGAATTAGTTGTGAAACCAACAAATAGGTAACCTACACAACACAATCGTAAATAAAGGGAAATATCTACCACTGGATGTTGGCATTGTCGGCCAAAGGACAAGTTGACAGCGGGTAGAAAAAAGGCGAAGGGGGTGGAGTTGGAAAATCGAATACACTGTAAATTCTGTTTAACGACGCTAGATTTAACGACAAACTCCTTAAAACGTCGAAATTACTTGATTCTGATTAGTTTACATTGTTGTCCATACAATAATACACTGTATATAGCAACAATACGTCATTATTAAGCAATAAACAGTACTTTCTAGGTAATATTTACCTAGACTGTCGGCATCGTACGTACCAAAGATTTTAAGAAATTCGCAAAAACTGTTGGTATTTTAGGCAGCTCAAAGGACTGAACCTACTGTATAGAATCTTTATATAGTGGCTAGAATGTCGTTAGGTTGTTACTGATTATCTATACGTTATCATAACTTTCAAACTGTGAACATGGCGAACATCAAGAGAAAAATTTTTATTAGTATATAGATAAATACATACATTATGTATTATAATAGTGCAATAATATTAATTTTTCTTTTCTCAATTTAACGACAACTATCAAAATGAGCAGTCCCTTAACTAGCGCTATATACAGTTTATCCTGTACTTAAAAAGAAGCTAACGAAACCTAACCGAACCTCATCCTGACAAAACTTTTTTGGATTGATTTTTCTTTTTGCCATAAATGTATATTTTTCGTAAAAAGGACAAAAAGAATACAGTTAGATTAGATTACGTTACTAGATTTTCCAATATTCGACGTTTCAGCGTCACTTTTTGCGCCTTTCACCTACCACCTACCACTTTTCCAATATTATGCAAGGTTATCTCTATAGTTACTACATGAAGTATTAAAAAATCCAAGTAGAGACAATAGGCCGTATTTATAAAAATAAAGCAAGTAAAAAGTAGAAGTAAAAGCTTTTTCTACAGTTCGTATTCATAATCTATACCTTTTCCTTGTAAGGAAATGCTTTGGATTAATAAAGTAAGAGGTACAGATTAGCCCCGTACCGATTTCGACAAACTAGTTGAAATTTGCTTAGTGCAATCGACCTGTGTGTGTTCCGTCACAGCTGTTTGTTTTATTTGTTTAATACAATCCTGATTTCCTTGTGTAGTGTTGAAAGTTAACAAAACCAAAATGGTTCGCACAATAACGCACAAATATTTTCATTTTCTGCACAGGTTACACGGCTACTCCACGTGTTTCGGGATACGCGCTAAGAAAGTGGTCCGTCAACCACACGACATTCTCTTCTAAATAACGTTTAAAAATCTGATTCTCGTGGTGTACGTCTTGGTTTGTAGTATTTTCTGTACGTGAATGCACCGTATTACCCATAACAAGCACAAGACTGGGACCACACAACTAAAAATTACTTATACAAGTCCTTTTAGACAGATTGTAATACAAAAACTGTCTTACAAACACATAAATTTTTACGTTACAAGCTGTGTGATGCCTGAGCAGCCACTGAAAAGTTGAAAAGAGCGAAAAAAGTCGTTGTGAACCTAGATTCCTTTTTTTAAACCAAATCCTTTAGTTTTTGAGCAGATGCTTCTTTTTGTAAATACAAATTATGTAAAACCTTTTACTTTAAAGCAAATCCTAGAAGCAAAACCTATTCCTTTACCTTTTTTATGCATATGCCTTGAAGGAATTTCTTCAATTTTTGAAAGCAAAAGATTTTTTTTACTTACTTTGTATAACAGTAGCGGTAGAATTAAGAAGGCCTTGTAGTGTCCTCGAGTTGTGTCGTAGAAGGGCCGCAAAATCCTTCTGGCCCTGTGCCTTTAATTTTGTCTCAGCTTCTGCACCGCAACACTGTCCTTTACATAAATTTCCTGAAACAAGATTAAATGATTTGTTACTCCCAGTTAAACAAGACAAACTTTTAAATTAACTTCAATAATACTCAAGTATGTAGTACACATTTCTGCAGTTGCCTGCTCTTTTTAACCCCCTACACCAAAGAGGGATGTTGTAACATTTATTTGTATTCGTATTTGTGTGTCTGTAGCATCGAAGCTCTTAAATGAATGAATCGATTTTGAATTAACTTTTCAGGATTCCGTACGTTCGAATGAAAAACTGAACCCTTATAGTCTCGTGTGTCTGTTGAAATTTAGTACACATATGAATTTCTGTGGGCCAAACACGGACGCATAACGTAAATAAATTAATTTTTAAAGTTATTTAAGAAAATAGATAAAAATTGACCATTCCCCTCTCCTTATTTCCGATACTACTGAATCTAAAATTAATAAAAAAAAATACAAAGAATAGTTCTTTACTTACAGATTACAGCAAAATTAATAAGAAGTCTATGGCCTGAACATAATATGGTAACAAAACAATATTGTGCGTACACATTTACATTTACAGTTTGAATGAATAGTAGATGTTTTGTTTCAACTAAAATGTTAACTTGGTTCTCGGATTAGTGTTCCTTACGTCCAAATGAAAAACGGAATCCTTTTAGGATCACTCGTGTGTCTGTCTGTCCGTTTTTTTCTTTGAAAAATTACTTGATTGCGAGTGCATTTAGCTATGATTCATGTCGGAGATTTTTTCAATAATTAATTTAATTGTTTAACTTATATAACTTATATATTTGCATAAAATGTCGTAAAGGTGTCCGATTTACTTTTTAGAGAACTTGGATTTTATAAAATTTATTAGAGAATGAAGTAGGTAAAACGGATTAGGCTTATAATATAATTAAAAGGAATTATAGAGAAGCAGGGTACACTACTAGTTATAATATAAGAAACGAGGTAGGGGTCATTTTGATAGAAAATGGGGAAAAGGCAGGCAGGTGGAGAAAGAATACTTGGAGAACCTATACGCCGGCCATGAGTTAGGAGATATATTAGAAAAGGAAGATAATGTGGAGATAGATGAACTAGAGGTTATCCCATAATGAGAGAAGAGTTCGATGTAGCATTAAAAAACATAAAGAATAATAAGGCACCAGGTATAGATTGGATACATTAAATCTTCTAGTTAAGGAATAAAGAGCACTAATTTTGACGTATTCGAGCTGAATATACATTTAAAATCCATAATACCAAAAAATTTCTAGAAACCTAGTACGCGTTTCGATACCCTAGGTGTCATCCTCAGTTAGAGATTCCCGAGTCCATTTTGGGTTTGGGTAAGTGTTTATTTAATTACGTTCCACAGCATTAAATTACATTTTGTGTATTCGAGGTGCAACTAAATTGAAGAATTTTAAGTTTTTGTTTAATTCTGATTAATAACTACATATTAAGCTCGTACTACCATAACTTTTCACAATAACAGAGCGTCTTATTTTTCGTACCTAAATTTTTGACATTTTTGTTTTATCTTATTTTTAAATATGGAAGACTAAACTATTTTACTTTTATAACGAAAATTGTATATTTTTAATTAGTATTCCATTTCCAGGTATTTTGTATAATATTTTTTAACTAACATTCGTATTCATTAACGGTAAAATTAGAATGCTTTTAATTATGCAAATTAACGATAAGTAAAGGAGTAACCCATAAACATGGCACTTAATGACGAACTTTAGTATAGAGGAAATGTTGAATTAACGATAAGTAATTATAACTGCCTTAAAATTAATAATTTGTATTCAGTATCATTGTTTTTAAATATACACATAAAAACATATCAACAATGACCTACGAATCAATATAAACAATTTAATCTGGTTCATTATAAGCTATAAACCAGAGATACGGTGTTCGCATTTTATTGTCAAGTATAGATGGTCCTTAAAACCGAATTGAGGAGGAAAGCGGGGGAATTCCGCGTTAATACTGTGCTCCAATGTTTTAGAAGAATCGCGAATTGTTCTAATCTTAAACCAGGTAGGTACAGGCCTGACGCTGGAAGCTGGCGGAAATTTTAAAATGGCGTGGATGCGCGGTGGCAAATGTAGGCAGTTTTAGGTAAAAAGATTGCAGCCCTCATTCTTCAGTATTTCTATCAGGGGCGTAGATTAAATCTTTAAAAATTGGGATCAGTGAGCAGGTAATAGACAGAGAAACAGAAGAACTAATTGTTGATGTTGGTGACAGTGATACAGATTCCCATGATGAGAGTGAATGTGAAAACTAACTATAAAACAAAAGCAATAGGTTAATTTTTTCTTTTTGACAAGTCATGTTTTTACATTATTTTCTAGTACGCTACTGTCCTATCTGTATTAATACTATAATTTACGCCCACTGAAAGCTTATTTATGTATCGGTTCCAAGTGACTTACCCAAATAGGTCATAAATGGGCAAGTACCTGCGCGACCGCTCGCCAGCTTACTTCGTCAGACCTGTACATATGATGGCATCTTGTAGTACATTAAGGAAGATGCGCCTGTTTGATGCAATAGCACACTTTGTTTGGATGGGGTGGATGTATGCTTACTGTTCGCAATTTTGATGTAAATTTTATATGATCTTCATATTGTGGTAAGTGCATAAGTATATTTATTTAATTACAATTTTGCAAGAGTATTTGTCCCTATCCATACGCTTAATTATCTGGATGTAACGAATTTATTATACGTAGTAGCTCATGGGCTGTGTTAGGTTATATCTGACCATGCATATTGGAAGAATTCGCGGAAATTTGAAACATGAAGCCAAAAGCATAATGCAGAAGAAGGGTTAGCGACTCCAATTTGAATCTTTTGAAGAAACCCAGTCGTGCGATGATGACGAACTGCATGACGTTAATGTAGGCCCGACTCAAGACAATGGTAAGTGCTTGATTTCTGGAGAATTTGGACGTGATGAGGTAATTTCGTACCGTTGCGTGTCGTGTGTCAATTGGGTACATTGATAGTGCAGCAGACAATTACACGTGTGGTATCTTCATCAACACATTCAATAAGAAAACAACAAAAGTAAAAAAATTTATACAGTTTAAGAGTTTGTTACATTTTCACATTTTCGTATTGTAGCATAAACATGGTCAATCACACTTAATCTAATCTAACAAATAACAAACAATGCATGAGTACAAAATTACAGAAGAAATACAACACGGATGCTGCTAAGTACCAGCTGATTGAATACAGCGTTGCGTTGTCGCATTTCTTTCCAGGGTTGGCATTACATTTGCCTGAACTTTCAACCACGTTTTTCTTGAAGACCGTGATCATTCGAATATACAAACATTGTTTTATTGTGCTGCATCACCTCCCGCAAGATTGGTACCTATTTCAGAAACATATGCATATTTTTTAATTACTACAACTTGGTATCGATTTTAAAAGTAAAATAACGAAAAACAAGAAACTATGAGGTGTAACACCTATGTTCTGGGAATTTAGTTACAAAATTATTAATCGCGTCGCAAAAATGAATGACTCAAATTACAAACATGNTGTAACGTTTGCTAAAATACTTTAGCATGTGTACCGACCCATAAAATGATTCACCTATTTGTATTTCAGGATTTACAAAAAAACTCGAGCGTTTCGTACAAACTTGTATATATTGTAATGTTCGTGGGTTTAACAAATTAAACATTTAAGACTCACAACGACAAAAACTATTTATTTACACTAATGTTACTATCCACTGTTCTATTTATTTCACTTCTATCACTGACAATGTGTATCTACTCTCTCTCGGCGATCGTTTCTTCCTTTATATACTCTCTTGTGCCCTTTCTGGAACTTTCTCAAGCCGTCCGAAAAAGTTTCGTCTTCTTTGTCCATTTCGTACATTTGTTTCCCAATCACGCTCGTGATCGCTGCAATATGTAAATAGTTCGTCTGTCACGAAAATCAAATCTCGAAGTTTTTTCCCATAAAGTCACCATTAAAAAATATTTATTTTGTGATGTAATTACAAACTTGCACTTTTCGGATTTTTTCCTTTACATGAGCCAGAGTTTTTAAGTACCTACGCGGAAGGGGTAGGTAGATCATTAATGAGGGTACTTACTCGAGTCATTACAAATTAAGCATCTCATTATTAGTATAAATACCAAGTTTTATTGTAAACAGGTCTTAAACATTCATACAGCTTCAAAGTTTCATATTATAAAAAAAATAAACCGTAAAAAGTCAAGAATACGGCTTTATTATATGTAAATCTTTTAAATAGATAAGCTAACTATCTTAAATTACGAAAAATAGAAAAGTTGCATCTATGTTAGTCGCCTTAAAATAATTTGTAAGGCAATACATCCGGTAACGTTACGATAATTTACGCACAAAAACAGTACGATCTCAACTCGTCGCCATTTATATTCGTAGTTGGAGAATTCCGTTAAAATTAGACAGTGGAATGTAATAAAGGAGGACCTTAATTTAACCAAACAGCCATAAAAAACAAAACGAGTGATGCGCAAAATTAAAGTCGTCAAAATATCTTTTTCAGCAGGTATGTTCCAAGAAATTACTTCTATTTTCGGGTTTAATCATTTGCTTTTTTATTTACACGTGTAGAGGCAAAATGAATTGGAAAGATTCGAAATACATACTTTCAGATAAGTATTTTTAATCATACCTCACATCAAATGATTCCAACAATATTCTCTTTGATGTGTAATTGATAATTAAAACAACAGGACGCCAAAGAACTGATGCAAACTCTGTCCTAATCAGTTGAAGAAGTGAATTTCAAAGTTAGCCAACCAACTATAAGCCGTCATATCAGCAAAACACTTGGCAAAAAAAATTGTGCGTGTCAGCTTTGACGAGTGACTGGAGTTTACTCCTTAAAAACGATTATCTTAAAATATATACGAGGGCGGTTCAATAAGTACCCGTGTTAGAAATGACACCTTTTTTTTTTAAATTTGCTTTTTTATTTTTCAACATAGTCCCCTTTTAGAAAG